AAACCTCTCATTTGTTTACCAATTACACACATTATTAATTCGCTGTTTAATGCTCCCATAAAACCAATAATTTTAAGTCAACACAATTACGTTTTCTGCCTATAAACCCCTGCTATGATTTTATTACAGGAATGTATAAAGATTAATTTTTAGAATGCGTGGGTATGCAGGGTAAAATCTGTTTTAAACATATACAGGGGCAATCGAAAAATCTAGATATTAGACATGATTTTAAGTCGATTTAATTTAAATTACCTCTTTAAAGTTGGTGCTTTTCAGTCAATTGTTATTTAATCTGAGAATATATTATTAGCCTGATCAAATGGTTTTACAAGTGCCTGTTTCGTAACATGAAAGCGGTAGATAGTTTTTCAACTGAATTATATGTTTTTTAGGGTGCTGAACACGAATCTGAAGTTTGCTGCCTCGTAGCAGTGCCGCTTCAGGTCAAAAAACGCAAAAATCCTCGAAATTTTTCTGGTTTTCCGCTCATATAATGGAAACGATGCATCGTACGGAAAATGTCATTCTACTTAAAGTTCAAGAACATAAAATTCTGCGTCGAAAAACCTCCCTAACTCTCAAATTAGACCGATTTATAAGGTTGCCATCGTCAATCGAAAAAAGCCAATTTTTAGCAACTTTTGTGAAAACTGCAAGAAACTTACGTTTAGACGTATGAACTTATAGAACAAAAGTTGTAAAGAATCAAATTTTGCGTTCAGTGAGCATTGAAATTTTAAATTTCGATCAGTATATACGCATATATTGATCATTTCTTCATTGTCCCATCACTGCCACTGTTGGTGTGGCTTTATAGTAAATTTAAAGACCCGGGAATTGACGGATGGAATGGTTTCATGAAAGAGGTGGCCAGATACATACCATATAAAACAACTTTCATTGAGTGCCAGTCTTTCATCAATACACGGCCAAGCGATTATGATACTATAAATATATCACTGTTAACTGCTGTCCAGAATACACAATCCTGTTGTCCTGGACAACAAACAACGTTTGCTACGTTCGATCAGCCCCTATACCTCAAGGCGCGAGATGTCATAGCAAGCCGTGAGAGAGATTCTGAGTTACGTGGCGTGGTCGTAAGGCTTGGAGGATTTCATTTACTCATGTCGTTCATGGGGGCAGAGGGTTTTATAATAGAAGGCAGTGTCCTAACTGAACTGTTCAATACTGTGTATGCAATTAAGAGAAGATTATGACAGGACACGCTTACACCAGGGCTGTAAGAAAGCACACTTTGATTGCTACAGCCCTGGGTAAGGTAATAATGGATTCCATCAATTTCCCTCCTTTGTTTCACTTTGAGGTTGAACAGGTTTTGTACAGTGGAAATTTAAGTTTCAATACACATGGAAAAGGATGGATGAAGGAAATTGAGCAATTGTTCAAAGCCCAGCTCAAACATTTTGCCAATCTGGGGCCCACTGCAAAGTTGTGGGTACTTATTACTTCTTATTACATCAGCATAATACTTATAAATCCTCAAGTCAGACTTGCAATAAAAGGATGGGGAAGGAATTTAGGGTTGGAAAGGGAGTTTGAAAGAGAGGGGGAGTTTTGGTACTTCAATTTAGAGTTGGAAGAAGGGGTTTGAGAGGTGGGGGGTTCATATTGACAGCGCAGAGTTGTTATTATTGAACTCCTGCATATTGGTCAAATAAGCGTTTAGAGAGAAAATGGAGAAATGATCAGTATATGCGTATATACTAATTCGAATTTAAAATTTAGGTGCTCACTGAACGCAAAATTTAATGCTCTACAACTTTTGTTATACGAGTTTTTCACGTAGAGTGGCTTTTTTCATATCACAGATATCTAAAAGTGAGTTTCTTGGAGTTTTCACAAAAGTTGCTAAAAATTGGCTTTTTCCGACTGACGATAGCGACCGTATAAATCGTTTTAATTTGAAAGTAAGGAAAGTTTTTCGATGCAAAATTTTATGTTCTTTACATTTTCCGTATGATGCATCGTTTCGATGATATGAGCGGAAAACCAGAAGAACTCCGACAATTTTGAGGATTTTTGCATTTTTCGACCTGAAGCGGCACTGCTGCGAGGCAGCAAACTTCAGATTCGTGATGTTCAGCACCCTAAAAAACATATAATTCAGTTGAGAAACTTTCTACCGCTTTCATATTAATGAGAAACTACCATTTGATCAGGCTATATGGTTGAAAACGTTCCAAAGAGATATTTTGCCTCATCCTTTGAAGGAAAAGATTTGTATGTAAGCTTAAAAATTCAAATAAAGAATAAATTTTTATTCTGAAAAAATTAAAGAAGCGTACGCTCACTTACTGAGTCATAAAGATTGTTGTCCAAAATGTTTGCTTGAGTTTCTGAAATCTTTCAATCTCGATATTCTATCTTCGCGAGTTAATTTAAGTTGGAGTATTTTTTAAATCATCTGCACCTGGAGTTTTGATATGAGAGATACACATCATATCATTGAGATAGTTTCCGATATACCTAGCTTCGGTTGCATGCATGTAGTTACTAGGTACAAAATCTGGCCAACATGAATAACAGTCATTGCAACACAAGAAGTATTATACTGAGAGCATTGTCTTGATGGAACAACATATATTTACGCAATTTTACGCGATTTACTTATTTTATTGCATGTCGAAATTTCGAAATTAATTCTACGTAAATAATTTTATGTAATAGTAGCTTTCTTGTTTAGATAATCAGCCAAAGTTAACTATTAAGCATCCCAAAAATCTAAGATCAATCTTCTCAGCTGGTGGTACTACTTAGAGGAGACTCTTTACTCTGAATTTTGGTCTCAAGATCGCAATAGGGGACCCATTATTCATCCATAATACCATAGTTTCTTCGATACATAGTTACACAAATACATAGGTATTTCGATGTATCGTAACTCTGATACACAGTACCCCTGATACCTAATTACTTGTGATACATGGTTATTACGATACATCACTGAACTCCCCACCAAAGGAACGCTACAAAATCCTGCTAACCTAAACATATTGGCCCAGCTGTGCAATATTAAGAGGCAATACCGAGCTGCTCATTACAGTGTATTTGAAGAAAATCTATCAAAAATTACACATACGAGTTTCCCAATATCCATTTCCTATTCATTTAATTTTTTATTTAATTAAAGATTGTTCATTTATTTTTAATTTTTTAAAATGATTTAATAATTGTAACCTCAAATGTTACTGTCTAAAAAAAACTCTTTCGAATTCTTCTTTTTATTATTTTACAATTTAAAACCCCCTTTTATATTGTGTTGACCAAGTCTATGGATTTTATGTAATAGTAAGACATTTAAATCATTGCAGATTGTACTCAAACATATAATTTTCCTGAAGATAACCTTATAAGTTCGAAAGCACTTGCAAGCTTTATCATATTTTATAAGAAACATTTTAATCTGCTCATGGCCAATCATATACATACAACCAAACTTATATGGAATCATCTATTATTTTTCATAATTTTTGAGATGTATGAACATTTATTGTTTATGAATAAAACTCAGTCCTTGCCAAAGACTTTTAATGACACAAATAACCCACATAGCAATAAAAATAATTAATTAGTTGACAAAATAAACACAATGGTATTTTTTTGGTTTCTGAAACGAAATGAGATTTAAATTTTTAATAGCCGAAAAGCAAAAACAGAAAGAAAATTGGTAATTTTAGCAATACGTATTATTACCTCTAACCCTTATGCAAGCTTCCATTCGCCCTGGTGCTTCTTATTAAATTGTCAACATTGTCTTGGGGTATGTTTTCCCATTCTGTTAATGCTGCATCAATAAGCTGTGCGACATTTTCTGCATTGTTTCGACGAGCTCTAATCCTTCTTCTGAGTTGGTCCCACAAATGTTCGATAGAATTTACGTCTGGTGAACATGCATGGCAGTCTAAAACTGTGACACCTGTTGTTTCAAGTCAAGTTTGTAGTCACTCTGCTGGTATGAGGAGGTGCATTATCGTGCATAAAGATAAAATTATCCCCAATTGCAGCTCTCAAAAGCCTTACGATTGGTTCTAGCACTAAATTAACATATCTTGAACCGGTTAAAGTTTGTTGAAGTAGTAACAATGGAGTTTTTGCTTCCAGCATAATACCTGCCCAAAACATTACAGTTCCTCTTTGATATCTTGGGACATATCTGGCAGCTTGGAGTCTCGCTCATCTTCCTGGAGCTCTGAGAACCCGAATTCAATGGTCATCTGATCTTAGGCCAATTCTGGTCTCATCCAAAAAAAGAACTTTTTGCCAATTCTCAATTGTCCAGTTTTGGTGTTGGAGGCACCAATTTAGCCGGTCAATTTTATTTTGCCTAGATAACGGTGGGACCCGTAACTCTTTCCTACTGTATAAACCTCGTGTGCGAAGTCTTTCTCTTAGAGTTTCAATTGAAACGTTCACATATCGTCGCCTTAGTAAGAAAACCGCGTATCTCCACTTTTAGGTCAAATTGACCTTTTAATGCCATCTAATAGAAAAATATCAAATCTTACTAGTCTGAAACCCACGTAACTGCCAGAACAATATTTCCCGCCTAAAAATTTGGTCAAGCAAATCACGTATTTCCATGTGTCAAATTTAGGTAAAGAAATTCGCTTAACTCCTAGTTTGCCTAATATTTCAACAGTGTGTGCATGTGCTCGCAAGAATTGAATAAGTTAGTGAAGAAGTATATTCATTTTTGAGCAAAAAACTTATTTATCGTCAAGGTAATGTCATATGTAGTATTTTCAAAAGTATACGATTAATCAAAGAAATATATTATATTGGTCTATTTTGTGACTTTTTTACCGGTTATGGATATACGCGCTTTTCCAACTTTACTTAAATATGTTTATTGTGTAGTTACGCGTTTTTCCATTTAACTAAAATTGATAAAAAATGTAGATACATTTTTCTCCTTAATTTTAATGGTTATAATTTATTATAGACAAATAACTTAGTTAATTTCCAATTTTAGAATGTCATTTCGAACAAAACTCATAATGGATATGGTTAACCAACAAGCAAGCGATTCTTGTGTGGATACCGTCGAATACATAATTGGAGAAGATGGAACTTTGTCTCCGATTTACACACAATTGCCTAGTAGTGTAAATGACCCTATATTAAATAATATTAATAATGAGGCTCCACAACTGAATATTTCTAACAATTTTAAACATATAGAATTGCCAACAGACTTTAACGATGCTGAAAGCATAAACAGTCAACCAGAAACTATAATAATATTAAATAATAATCTTGAGGCTCCACCACCGAATATTCCGACCAGTTTTGACCATTTAGATTTGCCGACAGACATAAACGATGTTTTTAGCATAAACAATGAACTGGAAAACCCAGAGAATCTAGAAACGGAACAGGACAAGAATGGCGACTCCGATAGTAACATCACGAATAGTATGTCATTTGAACACGACGACTTGGATGTTTCCTACGTTCCTGAGGAAAACGAATGTGGTAATAGCTCTGCAGATGAAGATGATAACAGCGGAAAAAATCGAGTCTAATAGCAGCCTGAATAATACAAAAATTCGAAAGAAGAGAAAATATTCTGAAGGATGGAATTATAATATAAATAAATATAAACGATTAAAAGGTCAGCCTTACCAAGGCAAAAAGGAAATTGCAGGTTGTTGGAACTACAACATAAACAAACCAGGTAAAAACTTAATATTATTATTTTGTAAAAAAAACAAAAGATTTATTTTTAAGATAAATTTTTGTCAAATCCGTGCAACTGTTCCCTCGGTAAAAAAAGTGTTGCTATCCAATGTCAAAAAATGACGGAAGAAAAACGTTTAAAAATTTTTCAAACATTTTGGAATACAATGACTTGGAGTGAGAGGAAACTACACGTACAGACTCTGGTGCAATGTGAGAATGTTAAAAGAAGAAGAGGACAGCAAGAAGTATCGAAAATAAATTATTCTATTAAATATTTTTTAAAATTGGATTTGGAAAGAATAAGGGTTTGCAAGCGTATGTTCGGAAGTACATTAGGGTAAAAAGAAACAATGGTACTGACTTGGATAAAAGAATTTAATCGCGAAAGTCATGACTATTAGGTTAGCAAAAAAAGCGAAACAAGGAGGACAAAATTTGCAGATAAAAATAAGGCTGTGTATCAATTTCTTGAATCGTTACCAAAAATGGAAAGCCATTATTGTAGGTCTTCTTCGAAAAAATTGTATCTTGAGCCACTTTGGCGTTCAAATGCCGCCCTGTATAATTTTTTTAAAAAATAATATTGCAACGAACGTAATTTGAAACCTCCATCCATATTCACGTTCATGAAGATATTTGAAAAGCTGAATTTGTCACTTTACCTACCAAAAAAGGATCCGTGCGACGTGTGCGAGGCATACAATACAAAAAACTTATCTGAGGAGACTATAATATTCATCAAACTTTAAAATTAGAGGCACGTCACGAAAAAGAAAAAGACAAAACTACTACCGACGAAACAGTTAATGTTTATGCAATGGGCTTACAGAGCGTGTTATTGAGTCCTAAATCAACAGTATCTGCAATGTACTATAAAACAAAACTGGTAGTTCATAACTTTACCATTTATAATCTTAAATCCAAAGGATTTTGTTTCCTGTGGAATGAAAGTGAAGGAGGCCTGACTGCAAACGAATTTTCCACCATAATTTTCTTTTTTGTTGAACATAAATAAAAAAGAGTGACGGAAACTTATGTAAAATTATATTTTTTAGTGATGGCTGCACGGGTGAAAACCGCAACTCAACACTGGCTAACGCGTTTGTAAACTTAGCTGCCCAGCATAAAATCGTTCTAACTCAGAAGTATTTATTCAAAGGACACACCCAGATGGAGGTGGACTCAATGCATGCAACAATTGAACGACAGATTAGAAATCGCAAAATAAATCTTCCCGCTGACTATGCTTATTACTGCCAAAAGGCAAGATCAAGTCCATCTCCATATAACGTCAAGTATATCAATAATTTATTCTTTAAAAAATTTGATGGTATAAAATTTTATACTTCAATACGTCCTGGAAGAGTCGCTGGCGACCCCGTTGTCACTGACATAAAGGCCCTAAGGTACTTACCAAACTGTGAAATCCAATTCAAAATGAGACATACCGATGATTGGTGCACATTAAACTAAAGAATAAATAAAAAAACGATTCCATGCAAGTATGACGATTTGCCATCTTTATATACAGAACGCAGAAAAATAAAAAGGTAGAAATATGATCACCTTCAAATTCTAAAATTAGGACTTCTAGAAGATTATCATCAATTTTACGATGACCTTCCTTATTATGAATAAAATTATTCTTTTGTAAACTTACTTTTATGTTCGTTATGAATGTCATTACTGTATGTAAAATACGTATTTTGTTTAAAATAAAATAGGTTTTGTTTAGCTTCCTTGTATATATTATTTATAAAAACCACGTATCTCCAATTATTATTTAGATTTTTTATAAGAAAATGGCGTAACTCATTTTTCAATTACAAGAATTACATAATTTTATTATTTTTACCAAAAATGTTAAATCTGAAGTATTTTTCTCTATTTATGAAAGATTTAAAATTTTTATCACCAATAGGGCGGTTACAAAACGTTTTTCTTTTCTCCTGTAAATTTTACTAAAATGGAGTTACGCGGGTTTCTTACTAAGGCGACGATATGTAGCTTCCAGAAGTTGTCGTTGTAGCTCTAGATGAGAAACACTGGGATTTAGTCAAGTAAATTGGCACACAAAGCGGTCCTGTTGTTTAGTTGTGACTCTTTGACTACTTTGTATGGGCCTGTTCTTGAGAGTTTCTAGTTCCAAGTACCTTTCATATGTTTTCAATACAACACCCTGGATATCGCTTACTACCTCTGCTACCTCTCATTGGGGCATTCTTTGTTCAATGAGAGCAATAATTCTCACCCTCTTGCATATCTGTTAGTTCAATATAAGGCATTTTGTTGTTGTTTTTTTTGGACCGAAATAAAATTACCGGAGAATCGTGATTTTACTTCTGAACACAAAATTCACAACATAATAAACCTCAGCAGTTGTTTTTTTCTTTATTATCATGTTTCTTAAGAACAAAAGGCCTTACACTATTGGACAAAAGTAAAGCAACTTTTATGATAAAATCAAATATTTAATTATTTAAAATAACACGATCAACCGTGAGAATCAAAATTTATGTAGTTTAAGTGGTCATAATAGGCTGCTATGATAGGTGAAATGGGATTGTTTGCAAATGTCAAATAAGTTAGTATGTAATAATTTATTTCAACAATACCCTTTATTATCGCGACAAAAGTATAACAACTTTTATGAAAAAATTTTGTATTTCATTTAACGACTGAAAAATCACAAATATGGTTGAAGGGTTAAAACAAAATAAGAACAAATTCTTAATAATTAATAGGATATCCATTATTAGATATAACTTTTTGGCAACGGCGCGGCATTGATGAAATTAAGTTTTGGATAGTAATATCCGGCATATTAATCCAAACTTCATTAATTTTATCAATTAAGGACTGTTTATTTGGGAATCTTGTAGTCCGAATACGACGTTCAACCTCTTCCCAAAGGTTCTCAATGGGGTTGAGGTCTGGTGATTGGGCCGGCCACCTAAGAACCTGGACATTGTTCTCCTGAAACCATTCCTGAACAAGGCGAGACGAATGTTTCGGATCGTTGTCCTGTTGTAATATAAATTTCAAAGGCATCTCCCGCTGAGCATAGGGAAACATAACGTTTTGGAGTATGTCCCTGTAGACGAAGCGATCTATAATTTCGTCTATAAAATGTAGTGGGCCTACTCTGCTCCACGAAAAACAACCCCATACAAATACACTACCTTGTCCGTGCTTTATTGTTGGCGTAACATACTTTGGGTGAAATCTCATATTAACCGGACGCCTGACACGCTTCATTCCATCAGAATTAAAAATTTTATAACGACTTTCGTCGCTAAACAATACTTTTCCCCAATCTTGCACTGTCCAGTTCAAATGTTGTTGCGCAAATTCAAGTCTGTCACGGCGATTTCTTTCAGAAACCAACGGTTTCTTGGCAGGACGTCTGCTATAAAGTTTCGCCTCAACTAATCGTCGTTGAACATTCCTCGCACTGACTTCCAGTTCGGGAATTTCAGCAATTATCCTTGGTCCTGACAACCACGGATCTCTTTGAGAAATTCTTTTGATTCTCCTATCCATCCAAAATGTAGTTTTCCTGGGCCTTCCTGATTTCGGCATTTTTTCTACATGTCCTCTTTCATTATAACGTGAAATTATTTTTGAGACACTATATTTGGGCAAGTCGAACTGTTTGGAAATCGCAATCTTACTCTTCCCTTCTAAAAAGGCGTTTACGACCATTTCTTGTACCTCCGTACAGATTCGTTTTCCTTTTGGCATATTTAATTCTGTAAATATTAGAGCTGTTAAGCTTAATTGAATTGAAAAACGCCATTTTAGAACTTTACCTGTATCATAAACCCTTTTCCTGTAAACCAAATCAAAGAGTTGCTATACTTTTGTCGCGATAATAAAAGGTCTAGTTGAAATAAATTATTACATACTAACTTATTTGACATTTGCAAACAATCCCATGTCACATATGACTGCAGCCTACTATGACCACTTAAATTAAATTATTTTTAATTTCCATGGTTGCTCATTTTATTTTAAATAATTAAATATTTTATTTTTCTATAAAAGTTGCTTCACTTTTGTCCAATAGTGTATCTTTATTCATAAATTTACAGTAATTCCATATAAGTTTGGTTGTGTGTATATTCCACACAACAATACGTCATGCGCGAACTCGTCGAGATTTCGTCGGCTAGGTATCATAACTCTGTAATTTTTTCTATCATGCATGATTCAACTTGTATAAAGCGGATTAACTAGTACATCTCTGTATATCTAAATAAATAACAAATTTAGCAACGCAGCAGAATTTGATGCACAAAATTTACATATAAATTTGAAAACGCTTGCACCAATTGCAACCGAACTAAACACATGGAAATTGTTAATTGGTATGTAAATTTTTTACGTACAGGAACCGATAAATATTAGACCGGAGGATAGCAAGATATTTTGTGAAACGATTTTCTCCCATCTGCCATTAATGGTAGCTATTTTTTACAAGACATGATAAGAAGTGAATTAACTGGAATTTCAAAGAGCATTGCGTGTGACAATACGCTGATATGCAAATTTTAAAATGTCATCCAAAGTGGAGAATTGGATCAATATTATCCCTTCTACCATGTAAAGGTAAAGTTAGGAAAAAGATAGATAGAAGCTAAACTGCAGAAACCAAGTTAGTGTACAGTGTTATGTTATTAATTTAAAAATGTCTCCAAAATGGGACATGTGGATCAATAGTCTCCGTCTGCCAAATTAAATAGATCTCATAGTTTTCTATTTTTGACATAAAAATTTCGATTTTTATAAATAAGTTTTAACAATTTTTAAAGTTGTATCAAAATGTTTAATATTTTCTCCC